GGGCGTCTATGACTCCAAAGCTACTCACAGGCCTGGGTAAACCACTGTGACACGGATAAACCACGGTTTGGTTTTGTTGCTTTCTCTCCCTCCTTGGAACTTCACTAGAGAACTTGCAGGGCTGCAAAGGAGAATTAGTTATGATTTGATGGATGAGAGGGGGCACCAAAGTCACTCTAGATTCATGGAAAACGCCAACTGCTCTAGTCTCTCAGGCAGCCATCTGGATCCAGTACGCGCTTTGTGGAGATGAGTTAATCTGCTTTCGAATAAGACCCAGGTGATTCTGATTTGGGAAAACAAATTACACAACTGTGGTCTAAGCTTTGGCAACGTGTTGCTATCTGGTTTCAATCTGCTTTTTTATAGTGACTGTGAAAGAATCTAGGCTACTGATGAAAATTTCATCAAAAGGTGCTCCAAAAATCCCAAGCATTTTGTCCAATAAAACATAGTAATGTAAATTCTTGACAGAAAGAGACTATAGACAAGGATATTAATTTGGCCTGGCTCCACACTTTGAAGAAAGCCCCATCTCAAAAGCAAAAGATTAACAAATTACCTCTGGATATTATGTAATGTGTAACATAGGTCTATAGCTCAGTTTGAAAGTGCTGGGTAATTGAGGGGGGTTACACATCAGTCTGTGCTTATAAATGCCCGAAGTTTGAAACCAGCAGCCACTCTTAAAGAGCCTTCCTCCGATCCAAATGCCACACTCATCTTCATACAGTCTGACTTCTCAGACTATTTACTCTGCATATCTACTCAATCAGCATTGTGAAGAGATCTGATTCTGCTACATATCCCTACCAATTTTAAAAGCACTCATTTCTTGTTCTCTTTGAAAAAATGCCTCCTGTCTAGGAACAGGTTCTTCATGAGCACAATTAAATGTTTAGAAATTTCCTTTCATTGCATTGTTATTATAGTTTGTTATGATTCACATAGTCAAATGCCTTGGCACAGCCAATGAAACACAAGTAAACATCTTTCTGTTGTTCTCTGCTTCCAGCCAAGAGTAATCGGACATCAGCAGAGCCTCTTCTACATCTGACAGCTCCGTCAATATACTGCTGCAGACAGTTTGAATTATCTTCAGCACAATTGACTTACAGGTGCTATTTTTTAAAAATAATTTTATTGGCAGCTCTTACAACTCTTATCACAATCCATTCATCCATCCATTGTGTGTCAAGCACATTTGTACATTTGTTGTCATCATCCTCAAAACATTTGCTTTTTACTTGAGCCCTTGGTATCAGCTTCTCATTTTTCCCCTCCCTCCGAGCTCCCCCTCCATCATGAACCCTTGATAATTTATAAATTATTATTTTGTCCTATCTTACACTGTCCGCTGTCTCCCTTCACCCACTTTTCTCTTGTCTGTCCCCCAGGGAGGAGGTTATATGTAGATCCTTGTAATCAGTTCCCCCTTTCTACCCCAACTTGCATGTGCTATTAAGATTGGCTAACAATGTATTCATTCTGTTGTATCACTTTTCTCTGAAGAAATGTGGCTCTCTCCCTGTCATAGCTCTCTTTTGTATTTCTTTACACAGATGAGGGAGCACCTCCAGCACGGCATGGTCCATTGAAAGATAGTGATTGGTTTTCTGTCAATTCCTGGGGCCTCATTATTCACCGGGACTCCAATGCCATGTGGGCTTTTCCTTGACTATCATCAATCCTTGATCATATGCTACCTCCTGAAATGGGTGACACAGGAGCTGTCACCTGGAGAGGAAACTGTTCGATGGCACAGTGTGAGAGAGAGCTCCCTTTGGTAGATAAAAGGAGAATAGGTACAGACAAGGATTTCATCTTCCTTGGAACCAAAATCAATGCTCATGGAAGCAGCAGTCAAGAGATCAAAGGACACATTACAGTGGGTATATCTGCTGCACAAGACCTCTTTGAAGTGTAGAAAAGCAACAATGTTAATAACAGAAATGTGGGTGGAGGGAGACAAGGAACAGTGCAAGATACAAAATAATAACAATATATAATTAATCAAGGATACATGAGGGTGAAAGGGTGGGGGAGTGGAGCTTATACCAAGGGCTCAAGTAGAAAATGTTTTGGAAATGATGATGGCAACATGTATATAAATATGCTTGATACAAGTGATGTATGGAATGTTATAAGAGCTGTAAGAGCCTTCAATAAAATGATTTAAAAAAAGGAAAAAAGAACCAGGGTGCACCTGACCAGACCATGCTATCTTTAGTCAGCTCATATGTGTGTGGAGGTCGTAGGTTCTCACATGAATCTTTTGGAGAAGTCTTTTGATGTGCCTAAGTGTTTCATTTTTCAGGCAGTCCCAGTTATCTAGTTTATATTTTTCTGTTTGTGCTTTTCAGCTTTGTTTCATAGAGTATTTATGCCATCAATTAGGGTCCCTCATTTATATATCAAGATAAAATCTGTAGATAATCATTGTTTGAGACAATGCTTTATTCACATAAAGACAGAGCAGTATCATCTTCTGTGGTAGGTAGCAATCCCTCCTGGTCACTGGGACATCCCCCTTAGTAGCCGGCAGAAAGATAATAGTCTGCATGTGCCCCTCTTCTGCTACAAAAGAGGGACGCTGTACTATATCCAGCCTATCTCCTCCGTGAGAACAGATGCAGATATTGGGTTGGCCGGGGCTCATGTGACACACAGATAAGCAGTAAGCAGGCTGTGGATGTAGAACAGGAAGGAGCTTTCCTGGGAAGGAAGAAGAAACTGGAGCAGAGGGAAGTTCAGTTCCTAGTCTTCATGATCAGGGCATGTTCTAGCCCAAAGTCTGATTAGGGAGTTCATGTAGGGGTGAGAAAACCCAGAAAAGACTGCTTTCTTGTTTTCCTAATACTTTAAATACATTTCTGTTTTGGTTACTCTTTGTCTCCTCCAACTAAAATATAAACTCAATGAAGGTGTGCTGATGGAATAAATGAACATGTATTCTGTAGTATTAAATTAAATTGGGAGGGGGGTGAGGGGCCAGCCCCCACCACTACTACTATCCATGGGTTCAGTAAGCACAATTGTACGGTTGAGGTATATAAGTATTATATTAAAGTCATCAAGAGCATGAGAGATATTACAATAATGCAGTCAGACACATTACATGGTAGCATTGCTCACCTCAGCCCAGCTTGGTGGTCCACGTGGAGAGAGGGGGAAGGGAAGGAGGGCAAGGGAACAAGGGAGAGGGGGAAAAGTGGGGAGCCAGAGAGATCAGAGAGCTCTATATTGCTGACTCACGCCTATATACCTTTTGGGGGCATGCCAGCCCACCAATTACAGATAGAGACATATGTCACAGGGAGGGGCTGCACTATAGGTTACACAGCAATGAGAAGGGGTGGTCTAGGGACACACATGCAATAGGAAGAAGAGGGAATGGGGTATACACGTGACAAGATGAGCGAATCCCAGATTCAGGATGGCAGCCTATGTCACAGAGCCAGTTTGGCCTGTTCCTGGCCCAACTGATAGAGACCATTATCAGTAGGACGCGAACTCCGCCCACAGGAGCCTGCCCATTGTCCCCAGCAGCAGGGAGCAGGCCCGGTGCAGTCTGGCAACTGATCGCCCTCAGGGGAGGGAATGCCTGCATATCTGACCTCCCCCCACAGTATTCATTATTACTTGATACAACTATGATTAAACCTTAACTGAAGGGCATGAATCACCCACCAAGGAGCAGAGAGTTAGTAATTTTACCCTTAAACACCTTGTTATAGTGAACATTAAAAGTTTTAATGGCATACACATCAGTCTTCCAATAATTAGAGAAGATGGTTGCATAATAGAACGCACAATTCATAATAAAACACTTTATTCATATGTAAGGGTCCATGATCTTAAAAACAGGACAGACGCTTTTTGGAAAAAAAATTCCATCAAACCTGCAAAAGCCAAATTTTATGTAAGGCAAAAATCTGGCAAGGCCCAGGAAGACAAGGTAGATTTTGGGTTTTCCAGCTTTTGTAGATTTCACTGTACAGGAAAACAAGCTATCATTTTACTTAAAATTTGCTGGTTTCATAGATTTGTACCAAATGCCACACCGTCATCAGTCCCAAGCAGCCGTTCTCTCAGAGACTAAGTTGCCTATGAACACAGGTGTGGAAAGCCCAATTCCTTCTCTCAAAAAAGAGATCCACCATGGGCTGAAGAAGGCAATCCACTGGTCAAATTACACCTAAAATTGAAGAAAGAGGCAAAAAACAGTCTCAATGTAAATATTAGTCATTTGCCTCTAAGAGTACATTTTTCATAACAAGGTAGTGTGTGTGTGGATAACGAGACATAAGCTGGAAGAGAAGGGGAAAAGATTTTCACAGAGAAGGGAATGTTCTGTCTGGGAGACGATATCTTTAGGTATGCAATGATTATATATGTTGTTTTATATATATATATATATATATGCAATATATATGTTGTTTTTGCCCCTGTAAGCTATGAAGTTTGCTGAGTATATCCTACTCACTCTTTAAAGCCTAGCTCTATGAATATCCAAAGGTTAAAATACATGGGGATGTTTCATTCTATACCTTGATATGTGACTTAAGCCTCCAGAACCTTACAGCCTTGTAAGCATTCCTAGAAGACACTGTAGCCACACTCTATGACACTTCCAACCTCATTTCACCAGCATTTCTAAGCCACTATTTTGTAGGTCCCATCTTGCTACTCATTGTTTCTTAGGATTCAAAAATCTGTTTATATTGAATTTAATGGTGTTTCTCCTTAGCCTTAATCAGGGAATGTCTTATGAGGCCCAAGAAGGACAGCCCTAATAATATGGGATTCCTACTGGTTAAAATGAGATGAACGAGACCACAATGATCAACAGTATCATCACCAAACTCAGGAATGCATGAATTTGGAAGCTTTGGGGGCACACTGCTCTTAGTACAAATGTGTGATGCTTCATTGCCAGATTGTATTTGTTCATATCTAGCGAGTATCTGGCAAAACTTCAGATGCAATTCCGAGGGTCCTTACTGTGGCCACTCTGCAAAAGCAACCGCTGTATCTCCTGGGCTGCCAGTACTTGGGCCTGGTTCATTCGTTAAACTGTTGGGATAATCCTCATCTATATCAGGTATAAGGCGATTATAACTGAAAAGATAAAAAGAAAACATAAATCTATTTAGACCCTACTGTTGACATGTTTAACTTAAGGTCAAGTTCCTGTTACAGTAGCTCTCTTGACTTTTTGTTCTTTTTTTCTTTAAAAAAAAAAAAAATCAAAGGCAGTATTTATAGTGCTAAGGAACATGAGTTAGAAATCAAACTTTTAAAATACCTTTGTTATTCTACCATCTACTCGCATATTATCTTGAGCAAGTAATTTAATTTCTCTGTGTCTAAACTTATACATTTGTAAAATTGGTATAACAATATCTACTTTCTTGTGTTGTCATGAGGCTGTGTATTTATACAAATAAAGTGCTTAGGACAGTACAGGAGTACAATGAATGAGTGATATGTTAGCTGCTATTATCACTATCAGAGCTCTAGTAGATTAAGTAGTAAGCTGCTAACCATAAAGTTGATGGTTCAAACCCACCAGTTGTTCCACAGGAGAGAGGGTCACTCTGAGTCAGAATTGACTCAACAGTAATGAATTTGGTTTGCTTATTATCACTATCGCCATCTCAACCATCACCTATGGGAAGAACACTATGTAGTGTTCTTCTCCTATAACCACTGAGGGGAAACACTTTCCCAGTTCAAGGTTTTATATATATATAAAATGGAAAAAAATTCCCCAAAGAAAACCCTTATCAAGAACATTAGAATTTTACTAAGACTTGAATTTTTTTTATTCTTAAAAGGATAAATAAGTAGGATATAAAATGAGATCCTATCTTAACCTATGAACTCTGTCCCAGTATGCTCTTTCTCTCACAGCATGTTGACTCCCTACTGGGTGGATGCTCCACTGGCCCTTGTTCTAACTTCTCTTACGAATCTTGAATGTGGGCTTTTGCTTAAAATATAAACATAATGTGGTTTAGCTGGCTAAGAACTATCAGGTGCCCCTGGTATATGTCTCAAAAAAAAGAACTGTCATCATCCCACTTTTTAGTATGCCAACTCCCTGGGAGACAAAATAGTTAAGAGCCCAATTACAAGCCAAAAGGTTGGCCATGTGAACCCCACCGGAGGCATTTAGAAGACTGCGAAAAGCAAACTCCCTGCCATCAAGTCGATTCTGATTCACAGAGATTCCAGAGGGCAGAGTAGAACTGCTCTAGTGGTTTTCCAAGACTGTAACGTTTTATGGGTGTAAAAAGTTTCATCTTTCTCCTGTGGAGCAACTGGTGGTTTTGAACTGCTGACCTTGCAGCTAGCAGCCCAATGCATAACCCACTATGCTGCCTAGGCTCTTACTTTAGAAGAAAGGCCTTGGCAGTCTGCTTTGAAGGAAGCTCAATCCTCCTTGGACATACATGGGGTCACCATGAACTGGAGGCAACTTCCTGGAAGCAACAGCAACCACGGTCTTCTATTCTAAGGACAGCTGTGATATCATCGAAGAAAACAGGTCAAGGGATGAAGAGATTTGTGGTTTCATTGGGCGTTTTTCCTCTGGCACTCACATACAGCCCACTCCTGGTTCTGGTAGTCAGCCTTTCGGGTTTGGATTTATCCGGAAGGCAGTTATGAACCTGGGAGCTAGAACAGGAGTGTGCGTGCTATACTCACTTTCGGGAAACACACGTCACAGGCATCTCCACTCTCTGTTCGGAGGTTGTCGATATGTACTTGATTTTAGTTTTTAGCAGAAGAGTTCTTCCAAAAGCCTGAGGGGAAAAATAGCTTTGAAACAAATGTTTGTCTCAAGTCTCTCAGGAAGCTTAAACGCATTCGATTTGGAATTTGTAGATATTCCACAACTCCGAAACCAAACTCAATGCCATCGAGTCAACCCTGACTCTTCGCAACCCTGCAGGGCAGGAAAGAACCACCACTGTGTGTTTCAAAGACTCGAACTCTTTCTACCCAGGAGCGGTTGGCGGTTTTGTACTGTCCTGCTATCCTTGCAACAAGCAGCCCACTTCATGAGCACCCTACAAGCGTAGCCCATCTCAGATACTCCATGCTCCAGAACTAGCCGAATTCTTACAAGCAGATCTGCTCACTGGAAGCTGGGTCATTTCAAAATGCAGAGATGGTTTAAAGTAGCAACACGTGTGCTGTGAAAGAAGACAGATCTTTGGGAACCATATTCAAGGAAGTGTTTCGTTATGACGCATGTTGGGAAATACATGTGGACCTAACACAGAGAGGCCACACTTTGAGAACATATAAACCTGCATAGAGTTCTGAGAGCTGCCTCTACTCACTATGTATCCTTGGGATATTTGTTTAAACAACTAAACCTGCTTCCTCATTTCTAATCTTTAAAAAAAAATCTTAAAAATAAGTATGGTAATGAGCAAGCCTATGCCACTTTCAGTATGTGGTTTTGGTGGTAGTAGTAGTTGTGGTTAAAACAAACAAACAAAAAAACCAAACTCACTGCCATCGACTCAATGCTGACTCATGGTGACGCCCTGTTGGTCTCTGAGATGGTAACTGTTTATGGGAGCAGAAAGCCTAGTCTTCCTCCCAAGGAGTTGCTGGTGGTTTCGAACTGCCGACCATCCAGATCCCAGCCCAACACATAACCACTACGCCACCAGGGTGGTACTTAGGTACTGTCAAATTGGTTCTGACTCAGACAGCCCTACACAAAACGGAACAAAACATCGCCTTGCTGAAGACCTTACTCTTTTATCACTGACCCTCTAACCAGGCATGTTGCCCTTCTCCAGGGTCAGGTCCATCCTAATACTATATCCAAAATACATGCGATCCCATCTTTCCATCCTCAGTTACAAAGAGCATTCTGGTTGCTTATCAGCATATAGTAAATGCCTAACAGGATGAGTGGCTGTTTTCAGAGGGGAAGGAGTTTAGACAAGAGAATTAAGAGATCAGTAATAAGTTTTCCTAGAACATTCAGCAGAATACACAATAAGGGATCTCAATAGAGGGTCACAGTCATTGATCTCATAAGAGGATAAGACAAATCAAGGTACTCATACAGATTACACAATTTAAAATATATCTATTCTTTCAGCTACATCATGTTCTTTTTCACATCCCTGGGGAAATACACAAGCACAAATAAAATGGAGCTCACCCATTGCTAACACCCATTGAGCGTTTCTGTAATATATGGACATCTCTCTTGCTTTTTCCCATCTCAGCTACAGATAGCTGTGTGCCCAAGTTCACACCCCTTTACTGGGGCAGCCCATGTTGAATGGCTGATCCATGTGAGAATGCAAAGCTCCCTGCAGCATCAGCCAAAGGCATCTTTGGATTTGAAACATAGGCCAGCATCTCCTTTGCTCACTCCTCTTTCTCTGTCTTTTTTCCAAGTATTACTGCCAAGGACTGTTCTTAATGAATAACTTGTATAGAAAAGTCCAAAGAGCCCTGGTGGCACAAATGTTTAAGCACTTGGCTGTTAACTTAAAGGCTGGCAGTTCAAACCTACCCAGTGGTCGTATGGGAGTCAGGCTTGGTGGTGCAAGCTAAATTTTATCTCTACATTTGCTTTCCATGGACATCAATCTGTAACATCCAAAGATACTGAACAAAGTTCAGTTATTTCTATTAGCATTTTATTTGTTTGTTTGTTTGTTT